CCAGCATCTCCTCTAGTTCCTGCGAGCATCTTCCACCTTCTCCATGGAAGCAGCAGGATGCAAGGGGAAGGAGCTCCACAGAGCACAGACCAGGGCCCAATCCCTGTGTCTACCTCTGCCTCATTGTGTGACTCCATGCCTGTGACACTCTCAGCTAGCCTCAGTTTCCCACCTGCAAAAATTCCCTTCCAGGATTTGTGGAAGGACCTCAGGGGACGAGTGTTCATTCTTTTAATTTGATTTCCATCTCTGTGTGAGCTGCGTTAGCAACTCTAAACAACTTGCAGGATCTTAAAATTGAGCATTTTAGCTATAATAGTGAAATCAATAAGAAGTTACAACCAATTTCCGAGGTTTTCAGAATTCTCTGAGATAGTGAGGATTTTAACTAGCAGACATTAAGGAAACTAATGCTTGTTATTAGTTTGGTAGCATATTCCTCTTTGGAAAGAAAATCTGGGTTTGGTATTTTGTCCTTAGGCCTGTGTTTTAGACATTGAGTATCTATAACAAATTACCCTTAAATAAATAAAATGCAATATCCTCTAAGGCAGAGGTTGGCAAACTTTTACTGTCAGGGCCAGAGAGTAAATATTTTAGGCATTGTAGACCATGTGATCTCTGTCACAATTACTCTACTCTGTTATTGTAGAGGGACAATACACAAACAAGCATAACTGTGTTCCAATAAAACATTATTTATGCAAACAAGAAACAAGCTACATTTGTCACATGGGTCATACTTTGCTCACCTCTAATCTAAGGGATGAACGGAGGTTAAGGTGACCATAGATAAACTGAGAAAAATCAGAAACTACAATTGGATGGCAGTTTCCAGGTGACCCTTCTATGATGATTCTGGAAATGCCAAGGCCTTTTTATGTATGTATGTATTTATTTTGGATTACAATGATGGATATTTTTCTTTTTGACCCCTACAAATTCTCCTGACAGAAAAATAAGTCAACTCAAGATTTTTGAATCTGTGATAAATTGCCTTTGAAAGTATATTTGGCTCTACAGTGTGTGCTGGTGGTCAGTGAACCATCCCAGGTTTCCACAGATGGGGCCAAGAAAGGACAACTTAGAGGAGTTCAAAAGTCCAGGGAAAATGGGAAGGTAACAGAACCTGCGCTTCCTTAAGTACCCTCCCCATCTCAAACAGGGGCCACTGTCACCTCCACTTCACAAAATGAATGACGTTTTAGCTGACAGGGGGTGAGTGCTTGGTCCAGCGTCACTGAGTAAGTGTCAGGCAGCAGAACCGCTTTGCCCTTGGACTCAATGCTTCCCTCAACACAGTAACCAGCTCTTCCTGGAGCCACTCACCTATCTTGAGGTTCAGAATCAGAGGGCGAAAAATTACCTCTTCTTCTTCCGACCTCTACTTCCCAGGAGCTGTTATGCTTTAAACACAAACAATAGATCCCACTGAGGCAGTCCTTAATGAATGCCAGGATAAAGCTTTCGTTATATTATAAAATCTTTCTTTCTCATTTCAGAAATAGCCACAAAGAGTTGAGAAAATGGAAATCTCAAGTAACCTCAGTAGTCAGTAGCTGGTTCTCACCAGCTCCGAGGCATTTTTAATACAAATAATTGCCTTAGATCTTCGTAGCCAAACTCCCAAACTCAAGCCAGACTGTCTAGGTTCAAATAGGAACTTCAGAATTTACCAGTTGCATTATCCAGGGCAAATGGTTTAATGACTTTCTGTCTTAATTTCCTGATTTGTCAAATGAGGGTGAAGATAATATTTTCCTTTTCATAGTTTGTTACAAGGAATAAAAGAGTCACCATATCATAACAAACACCACAGTCATTGGCTTTTCCCAAAATCTATAAGCTCTATGAGCACAAGAGTTGTCTGTTTTGGTTGCTTTTATTTCCTGAGCACCTAGAATAATGTGTAGCACATAGTAAGAAATTGCACATGAATGAAAAGTGTTCACATTGGACAAGGTGGTTCACACCTATAATTCCAGCACTATGGGAGGCTGAAGCAGAAAGATTGTGAGTGTGGGGCCAGCCTGACAACATAGTGAGACCCTGTCTCAAAAAAGAAATTTCAAACAGAGTCTTTAGATTAGGCTATGGCTGTGTTCAAAGCCATACTCTTCTTTTCTAGCATAGTTCTGTGGGGAAATTCACTGGGAGTCTTTTGAGTATGTTGAGCAGCCCTAATGTGATAATCCAAAATTTGAAGTACTCCAAAATCTGAAACTGTTTGGTGCCAACATGAGACAACAAGCAGAAAATTCTCACCATGAAACCTTGTCATACTCACAAAATTATTAAAAAACCGTGTCTAAAGTCACTTTTAGGCTATGTGTATGCACTTTCTGTTTAGACTTGGGTCCCATCCCCAAGATTTCATTTATGCAGATGTTCCCAAATCTCAAAAAAACTGAAATCCCAAACATTCTAAGCATTTCAGATAAGGAATTTGCAGCCTGTCCTGGAAACTAACAACGGTCTTAGTTCTTTCAAAATTCTCAACCAAAGTGGGCAATAGTAGGAAGGTGGGGCCAAAGGGTGAGCACAGAGCAGGCACGTGGTAATTACGATTTCCCGGCCCTTTGCTGTTCCCAAAGGAGCATGCCTATGTCATTCATCTCAAACTTCCTTTCAGCTCTTAGTCTTTAAAAAAAAAAAATTGAAGTCTAACACCATCACATAGCTTTTTCTCTTAAAGTTTACTTTTGCTAAACTTGTGCCATTTTGTAATTCCATACGTTGCAAGTCTAACTCAGTATTTTGTGGCATCAGCTGCCAGGAGCACTGTGGTAATTGAATTATGGGTCCCATTTATCTGACAAGATTGCCTTTAATGTCTACACTCCAACAGTGATGGGGACTCCAGAGAGCAACAAGGCCTCATCCTTGAGTCTGGCTGGCAGAAAAAGGAAGGCTAAAGAGGGCTAGGACAGACAGAGGTGTCTCTGGAATAGACACACCCTTCCGAGGGGTGGGGGATTTCTATTGGGTTCTTGGAGGCTGAGCCCATGTATTCCCAAGAGCACTATTTAGGCAAAATCTGAACTGCTCAGATGTGGCTTCTTGGCAGAAAACCATGTTTAAGTCTTTGTTGGATTTATGATGAGTGTATGTGATACTCATTCTGAACTGTGGTTAACTGATACCCCAACACATAGCAGCACACTGGGGTTCTACTCTTTCTCCCTGGTTTGCACTGTCTAAATCATTATTTTCATTAAAATTATGCATCTGTACAGAATTACACAGCAGTGATTTACACAACCACCTGCTTAGAATGCTCTGTTGAAGACAATATGCCTACCAAAGAATCTTTAAGGCCTCCATCAGCAGAGAAGCTAAAACATAGCATCGTTTGTTTGGTTGTGGAATGTTCTATATGCTTTATATAAAATAATTGGAGTGCATAGGCTTTGCTCTTAAGCAGTCTTCTGCTTACAACGAAAATACCTTGCAGACTTGTCTTACTTGTTATCTCTCTTAAAGTCAAATGAATTAATCTATATTTGGAAAATATGATAATGAGATATTTCTGCAGTTTAAAATAGCTCTAAATTTGATCTTTGCTACACTAAGCCGTAAATGAAACTGCAAGTTAAGGAGTTAAGGAAGACTGAGGTCGACTCTATACAACTCAGGAAACCACTGACAGAATTTAGTTCTGAGGTGAAGACCATGGAATATGAATGTGGCCTACAATGGCAGTGATAAAAAAATAAGGTTTATCTTGAGATAGCCTAAACGTTAAATATGATGAGCCTGGAAATATGGTAAAAAAAAAAAAGACCTGGTGTTTAATCTTCTGCTGAAATAACAGCTAAAATTTTCAAGTATTTATTATGCATGAGAAACTATGCACAAAGCATCTTATATGTATTATTTTATTTTGCCTTTCTGTGAATTAGATGGGATTATTATCCTCACCTACTGATGAAGATAAAGAGAAGGAAAAAAAGATTGGTAACAGTCAAGTAATTTGCCAGAAGTTGCAAGGCTAAAAAGTAGCAGAGCCAAGATTTAAACCCAGGTCATTGAGCCTGAACTCTTAACCATTGCCTATAATAAGTCTAAGTCATTAATGCAACAAGCAGCAAACGTGTTTAGGTTGAATATAAAAATGACTATGTATAGGCAACCCTAAATGCGTTATTACTCTACTGTGTGCGATATCATAGGATATAACCTTACCATAAAAAATAAAGAAATTGTGTTCAGAATAAAAAAAAGAAAATTGCCTTATGGCCCTAAAAACATTGTGGTGTACTAATAGTACTTCTATATAATAAAAACACTATAACTTTTTAGAGGGTAGAATTTCAGGGAATATAAACTTTGTTTTGGGATTTAAATTGGTGTTTCTGCATCTCGTTTGAATTCATTATCCACCCAACTGCTATGATTTGAATATTGTTGACCTCTCTGAAACTTATGTTAAGATTTAATCCCCATTGTGAGATATTAAGAGGGTGGAACCTCAATCTAACATGGTGTTAAGAGGTGGGGCCTTTGGGAGTTGATTGGGAGTAGATAAGGACAGCAAGGTCGGCCCCCATAATTGATTACTATTGGCTTTATAAGAAGAGAAAAAGAGACTCCCCCACACACATGCTCCATCTCCATCCCTGCTTTGGGATTCTGCCAGCAAGAAGGTCATTGCCAAATGTGGCCGCTCTACCTTGGACCAGAATTGTGAGCCAAAAATAAACCACTTTTCTTCATAAATTACCTTGTCTGTGGTATTGTGTTATTAACAACAGAAAACAGGCTAAGACAACAACAACAAAAATCTCTGTTATCCTTTTTATTTTTTACAGACATGAAAAATATGAGTCTCGAAATCAGGAAAATCAGCTACTATCATACTCGTTGGTAGCAGAAATGAAATTCAAACCTACGTTTTATTATGTCAAGCCCCATGGAGTACCTCCCTCCTCCAGCCACGACCCAACAGTGAAAACAAAACCGGGCTGTGCAATCTGCTCACTCCTTCTTTCTTCTCACAGGTCGCTACCCTCAGGAGAACAAGGGCACCTATATCCCGGTGCCCATAGTCTCAGAGCTGCAAAGCGGAAAGTGGGGAGCCAAAGTTCTCATGAGCGAGGACAGGTCTGTCCGGCTGTCCATCCAGTCTTCCCCTGAGTGCATTGTGGGGAAATTCCGCATGTACGTTGCTGTGTGGACCCCCTACGGCATACTCCGGACCCGCAGGGACCCAGAAACAGACACGTACATTCTCTTCAATCCTTGGTGTGAAGGTAGGGGACACACATTTCACTTACCCGTTTTAAATAATTCCTGTAATCACAATGCGCCTCTTCTGGAGGGTGGCAGGACATGTCTAAGAGAACACTTCCCTTTCCTACACATTCTGCTTTCAATGATTATAGAAGAGAGAAAAATGCAAAATTTCTGCTCAGAGTATGTGAGGGTAAAACCCGTACATGTGAAGATAATGCCACTACCTTTATTCTCAGATTAATTGATGATTGCTTACAGTTGCACAGTGAGTTCATTACGAACAGGAGATGTTAATGGGGCCTCATGTAGGTCACAGGTGAGCTGCTTTTATAGTAACTCTTTAATTAGACATAAGGTATTTTGCAACTTGCTGATGGGATACTATTTGCAGAGATGGAGAATAAAGATTCAGAGATAAACTAAGGGTTCAAAAGCAGTACATTGGAGATAACTGTAGATATCCAAGCAGAAATGACAAATAGTATATGACTCTGGAGAGGAGAACCAGACACATACATCTGGGAGCGATCTGTGCCCTAGAGAGAAAATACAGAGAAGAAATAAGGTACAGTATCCAGTCCTCAGGAACATCAGCTTATGAGTCCAGTAGAGGAATTGGCAAAGGAGAGTGAGATGAAAGAATATGGAACAGGTGGCCTGTTCTAAGAAAACTGAACTTTAAAAATCCATACTTATGAAATAAATAAATTAGGAGTTTATTGTTGACTTTCTTTGCATCACAACAAGAAAGTTGCAGGCTTCATAAAACTAATTGAGCATGCTAAGGTATTTAAGGAAGAATATGATTTATCCATAATTTAATTTGTTCACATCTTTTCTAGATTACATCATCTATGTAAAATGAGGTACATGTCTACATGCATTTCAATTTATGTAGCCATGCCTTTTGAGATGAAAAGTGCTAGTCATGTTGCTTGATGTACAAGAGAACCATTCAGGGGGTAGATAGTTTAATACTCTAGACTGCATAATTATCACGTTGGCCTTCACTTGTATACACAGTGAGCAGCTATCTAGTACTTCTGTTCTTAAAATTGCCTAGAGGTAGAGATAATGTGGTCCCTTCCCTACTTGCTGTGGCACAATAGAAGGACCCCTCACCTTGGTGTTTCTGTGCAGAGCAGAAGGTGAGATTAAACCAGAGAGACCAGTTTGGAAGCTGATCTGGCTTGGCCAAACAGGGTCGATGATGGTGCCATTTTCAGACCTGGGTCTACTAGGGGAGGTAGAGGGCCAGTCTAGGGATGGAATGATAAATGTATCTGTGAGACATCCAGATGAAGATGTAAAGTAAGCACTTGAGTCAGTGAATGTAGAGCTCAAAAGAGTTGGCCAAAGTAGTCATGTGAATATGACAACATCAAGGGCAAGAACAAACCAAAATGGATTCTGGTTCACCAGCAATTAGAGTCATGACAAAAGAGACGTCAACAAAGGCCTGAGAAGGACAGTCAGTGAGGTCCAAGGAAATCAAAAGAGGATAGATTCAGATGCATCCACTGAGTCAAGAAGATGCCAACTGACTCTGCTGAGCTGCTGATTAGTTGAATTGCATAAGGAAAGAAAGCAGCCATTCTTTGTGGAAACATGGATGTCACACACAATCTTGAAAAGGACTGTTTCGCTAAAGCAGTGAGGACAGAGGCCAGGGAGATGGGTTGCTGTCTAAAGGGGTGAGAACGTGAAGACACCAGGGATTGAAGACATTCTGCAGAGCCTCCTGCTAACGGGAATGTCAAAGGAGAATGTTTTGGACAGGAGAATATGGGTGTTATGATTTTATGGTGATGGAGAGGAACCAGGACAGAGAAACCAGCAGAAAGGCATTTCTTGGCCTTGGCTGCACAGTGCAACCACCTGGGAGTTTAAACCCAACTCTTCACACACAGATTCTGATGTAATGGGTCTGGAGCCACCCCAGACTTCAGGGTTTTTCCACAGCTCTACAGGTGACTCTTGAAGCTAAAGTTGAGAAACACTGGCTTTACAGTGAAATCCTGGAGTGGGTGGGATCCAGGAATGGGTAAAGGGCCTGAGAGAAGTAACCCATTGACACTGCACTGAGAAAGAGGGGCAGATAAAAGATTTTTGAGATTTGGTGGAGGAAGGATACAGCTGTTGCCATTTCGTGATTGTCTTTCTCTCAGTGAAGGGTAGCGCAAAGTCACATGTTGAGAAAAGCAGCAAGGGAGGACCGAAGCCTTGGAGGAGAAGACGTGAGCAGTCATTGGGGGAGTGAAAGGTGAACTCATTATAGAAATGTGACAGGTGGTCCCTGCTGCTCTCCTGAATACTGGAAAAATAGTCATGATTCCCTTAATTCCTTGACCTGTAGAAGTGTAAGCATTTCTACAAATTCCTGGGGTATTTCTGTCCTCATGGCATCTCTGCTTCTAAGAATCCTATTCTCCCCATTCCTTACCCTGTGACCCCAAATGAGAACATCAACCCTCTTCAATGTCATCAGCAACAAGAAGTCTGTGAGTGTCTTACTTGCAATTCAGTACTGAGTAAGAGACAAGGACTTTCTTCACCTGTTCAGCTCCTTAAGGCTTCTGTGCAGCATCCTCAAATTGAGTGGGTCTGGGGTGGAGCCTGAGAATTTTGATTTCTAGCCAGTTCCTGGGGTGGGCTCAGATTACTGAGTGGAATAACTGGTTTAGATAATAATCTCAAAACAATAGTGGGAGAGTAGAATTTATTCTTCTTAAAAATTCGCTAACTCCTCCATGAACTTAATCCCAGTCTCTCTCCACCTTCACCACCTCTCATCTCTCTCCCAACCATCTTCCTTGTTCTCCAAGCTCTGATTCCCTCCCAGGAAGAAATCCTTTCCTAATGCAGAGGGATTCAGCAAGGTTTTAAACTTGCTGTTTGGGCACCCTGGACAACCAGACTTTTGGGGGCCACACCTTTTTGAAGAACACCCCCTTCAGAAGAAAATGTCTGGTGTCAGCTTTTAAGAAAATTCCTTTTAACCTCCTTATCTTAATGCACATTGAGATCTTCCAGGGGATGTTTGTGAAATGGGAGAAAGAGTTCATCTAGTTTCCCTCACTATGTGGTTTTGCAGCCTAGCACCCAAGGCCTAACCCAGAAAGGAGGTCAGCATGATGATTCTCACGACAACCAAGTACACTGAGCAGTAACTGGTAATCCCCGTGGTGGTTTTGTGCTTGCAGATGTTAATACATGACAAGGGACTCATTGAGCAACTGGAAAACAGGTCAAAAGAGGGTGAAACCATTGCTCAGGTGCAAAAGATAACAGGGAAGCAAAGGGAAGCATCTCGAGATTCTGGAAACGCCACACTCCACTTATGGCAGTAAGGTCCGAGGAAGCAATGGGCCTTGGGCAGAAAGCTCCCCCACACAGCTCGTACAGTGCTTACTGATGAAGAATGTTCAGCTGTGCTCCTGGGGGAGTGTCAGCCTGCTTTGCATTCATAGGCAATTTATCCTCCTTAACCACTAAATCATTAACCAGAATCAATAGCAATACCACCCGAGAGAGGGCATGGTGGATGCAGGGAGAACCGTGCTTAGTGCTGATAATGCCAACTGGGCTTCTGGTCCATTCTATGAGGGAGCCCTTCTGTAGGGTGCTGGGGACAGAACCACACCACAAAGGCAGCATGGGTGAATTGAGCATTCTTTCTGGTCCATCTTGCTTTTCTGACCACTGACAGACTCCAAACTGCTGAATGTATTTCACTGCTTCAATGTCAAGTGTTCCCATTTGGTAGTGTGTCCTTGGTGTTAGTGAGTTCTGACAAGCTTAGGTTTCAATGCCTTTGCTGGGTTCCCTGGCAGTATTAAGTCATTGGTTTTGGTTGGGCATCTCTTTATTCCTGGGGTCTTCCTCCTCTCCACAGCTCATTGCTCCTCTACATCACCCATTAATACTTTCCCTTGCCTCATTCAATCCCATGTCACCAGGATCCCACTGAGTGCCTGGTACATACTGGACATTTCATAAACGTTTGCTGCATTCTTTTAATAATTCCAAGTAACTACTTTTTAGGTTCACTGCACCCTATCACCGCAGATAAGTGGTAACTGTAATCTCAGACCTTACCATCTTGAAAAGAGTCAAAAAACACGGGGGAGTGTGCTTGTGAGTGATATGTGTATAGAGTTCTCTGTTGGCATCTAACACCAAGTTAGCATCTAGTATTTCTACTTGTTTATTCAGGGTAATTTTTCCTTTAAACAAAGAAATCAATTTAACTGAATGTAAAGAAATCATGTTTCTAATATCTTTGATGTTTTTAATAGAGCATAAAGAAATATGACTAGCTTGTATTTTATTATTAAATTTACCCTTAGACTATTTGCTTTGAATACACATGGTGGTTTCCACCCTTCAGTGCAGAATGCAGTTCCCTAGGACTGGTTCTTTCAGAGGGGCAATCACCAACACCCCTTTCTCATGGAGAAATTCTGAACTCAGAACAGAATAACACCCCCAGGCTTGAGCCATTAATCCATCAGTCCACAAATATTGATGGTGTGTCCTCTCCCACAGCCACAATTACCCATGCAAAGTACAACAACATTACTCATTCATTCATAAATATTAAGAGTCAGTGTTGAACTCAACTCATGGGATATGGCAATGAAAAAGACAGGTGGTTTTTTTTCCCACATAGACCAAGTAACAAGGATTTTTACAAGTGAGCTACTAATAAAATTTAATTACAATTGTAAAAAGTACTGAAATAAGTCAGGGCATGACAAGAACATTAAACAGGGGTCCCTGGCATAGTTGGGGATCAGGGAAAGACCAGAGAGTAGCTTGTCTTTGTACCCTCACCATCCTCTAGAACAGCATGTGAGCAGCAGCAATCAAAGAGTTGGTTAATCGGATTTTTATAAAGTTTCCAAAAACTTATGTCAAAATTTTAACCCTCTATTCGATGCTTCTGTTTAATAAAATGGTTTATTTAATAAAATGGTCTCTCCTTATCTATAGTTTTAGATGCTGAGAATTCAGT